CAAATGGCTGCTGAGAAATCTGAATTTTGTGTTAAATTTACGGGAAAGAATTATTCAACTTGAGAATTTCAATTTCGGTTGTATGTTATTGACAAAGAATTGTGGGGACATATTGATGGCACTGAGAAAATTCCAACTGATGCCACTCAATTAGTCAAATAGAAAATCAAAGATGCTCAGATAATGTCTTGGATTATTAATTCATGTGAATCTCAGATTGTTCTTAATTTGCGCCCTTATACCACTGCTAAAAAAATGTGGGAATATTTGAAGAAGCTTTACCATCAAACCAATTCAGCCAAGAGATTCTAGTTAGAGTGCGAGATTGCAAATTATACTCAAGGAAATCTATCTATTCAGGATTATTTTTCTGGTTTTCAAAATTTATGGACTGAATACTCTGATATAGTTTGTGCTGCAATACCTAATGATTCTCTTGGTGCAGCAAATGATAGTCTCAGCTTTTTTAGCCCTGGGGATTCAAGGTAATGGTCCTGCTTTATCTTAGTCTTGGCTAGTTGATTTTACTGCATCAAATCACATGACTGGTTCAGTGACTTTGCTGCAAAATATTTGTCCATATAATGGTTCCGACTATATTCAAGTTGCTAATGGGAACAAGATATCCATCACTGCAGTTGGTGATATTTCTCTTACTTTCACTAATACTTATCTATCACCTGAACTTTCTGATAACCTTCTTTCAGTTGGGCAATTAGTAGACCGTAACTTTGACGTATATTTTTCTCGTGATGGTTGTTGTGTGCAAGATCAAGCATTAGGTAAGGTGATCGCGAAGGGGCCTAAAATTAGTCGTTTGTTTCCTTTTCACATTTCTATTCCTCGTAATATTTTCTTAGCGTGTACTGCTGTTGTTAACCATAATCAAGTGTGATACAAACGTTTGAGACATCCTAATTTCACTATTTTATCTCTTTCATTGAATTCTGGTGTGTTGGGTAATAAAGATAAGTTCTCAAGTCTTCCTTTTGATTGTGCAACTTGTAAATTGAGAAAAAGCACTATTCTTCATTTTCTTCTTGCTATTAGTCATGCCAAAAAATGCTTTGATATTATTCATAATGATGTATGGGGAATCACTCCTGTTATTTGTTATAATGGTTTTAAATATTTTGTGACGTTTATTGATGACTATAGTCGATTCACTTGGATTTATTTTCTCCGTTCAAAATATGAGGTCTTATATACTTTTAAGACTTTTGTTGCCTTGGTTGAAACTCAATTCTCTTCCATTATTAAGGTTCTTCGCACAAATTCTGGTGGTGAATATATGTTTACTGCTTTTCATAATTTTACGAATGAGAAAGGTACTATCTCACAATGATCTTGTCCTCACACACCTAAAAAAAATGGTGTCGCAGAACGAAAAAATCGTCATCTTTTAACAGTTACTCGTACTTTATTACTTGAATCCTCTGTTCCATCTCACTTTTGGATAGAAGCTTTATCCATAACCGTTTATCTGATTAATAGACTACCATCTGAAACTCTTCAACTTGAGTCTCCTTACTTTCGTCTCTTTCATAAATATCCTCAATATGGGCATCTGCATACTTTTAGTTGTGTTTGCTTTATTCATTTACCTACTCATGAACGTCATAAGCTTTCAGCTCAATCTATTAAATGTGCCTTCATGGGATATAATACCAATCACAAAGGCTTTGTTTGCTATGATTCAACTTCTAAGCAGTTCTGCATTTCTCGTAATGTTGTTTTTCTTAAAAATCAGTTTTTTTTTCCAACTTGTGACCAGTCTTGTCCTGCCATTGCTACTCTCCCTAGTTTTGATGCATTGTCTTCCTTTGTTCAATGACCGCCCCTCCCTTACCCTGATCCACCATCTAATCCTGCTCCACCATCTGCTCCTGATCCACCTGTATTGAGACGTTCTACAAGAGTCTCTCGTCTTCCAAATTGGTATGACTCTTATCATACATCATTTAGTGCTGCTTTATCCTCTATTTCTGTTCCATCTTCTTACTTACAAGTAATGCAAGCAATGCAAGAATGTTGGCAGCAAGCAATGCAAGAGGAATTTCGAGCTCTTCAAGATAATCACACTTTGGACATTGTTACATGTACCCCTACAGTACAACCTATTGGGTGTAAATGGGTTTATTCTCTAAAACATCAACCTGATGGCACTCTCGAGCGATATAAGGCTCAGTTGGTTGCTCTTGGTAATCGACAAGAATATGGTGTGGATTATGACGAAACTTATGCTCCCTTGGCCAAAATGACTACTGTGCGAACCATACTTCCCATTGCTGCCTCATATGGTTGGTCACTTAAACATATGGATGTCAATAATGCTTTTCTTCATGGTGATCTCAAAGAAGATGTTTACATGAAACCTCCTCCTGGTTTGTTTTCTTCGTCCACTTCTGAAGTTTGTAAATTGAATCACTCTTTGTATGGCTTAAAGCAAGCTGCCTGTGCATGGTTTGAAAAGTTTCGGTCTACCCTACTTCAGTTTAAGTTTGTGCAAAGTCAATATGACTCTTCTTTATTTCTTCATAAAACCTCCACTGGGATAGTTATTCTCTTAGTATATGTTGATGATATTGTGATAACAGTGATAGACTCGTTACTTATTGCTCAACTTCAGCAACATCTTCATGATTTTTTTCATATGAAGGACCTTGGCCAACTTACATACTTCTTGGGGTTAGAAGTTGTTTCTGATTCTGTTAGTATATTCTTACATCAGCATAAATATGTTCTTGATTTAGTTTCTTTAGCTGGTCTTCAGGACTTTTCACTGGTTTATACCCCTTTAGAAGTGAATGTTAAATATCACATGGAAGAGGGGGAGCAACTTTCATATCCATCGTTGTATCGCCAATTAATGGTAGCTTAAATTATTTGACTATAATGCGACCTGACATCTCATTTGCTGTCCAGCAAGTAAGTCAATTTCTGTACTCCCCCCGTCATCTCCATTTGGCAGCAGTTCGCAGGATCATAAGGTATCTTCGAGGTACTTCATGTCGTGGTCTGTTCTTTCCTGCTGTCACTCCGATGCAACTGAGTGCATTTTGCAATGCCGATTGAGCTGGATGCCCAAATACTCGTTGCTCTGTTACTGGTTGGTGTATGTTCCTTGGAAATTCCTTAATATCATGGAAAAGTAAGAAATAAGATCGGGTGTCTAAATCGTCCACTGAATCTGAATATCGTGCCATGTCTGCTGCATGTTCTGAGATTATTTAGCTTAGAAGTTTGTTGACTGAGCTCAGATTTCCTCCATCTATGTCTACTCCCCTTCATGCTGATAACACTGGTGCCATTAAGATTGCCATTAATCTCGTCTACCATGAATGTATCAAGCATATTGAAGTGAATTGTCATTATATACGAGAAGCTGTCAATAATCAGGTGATTTCTCTTCTGCATGTTTCTACTGTTGTCCAGATTGCAGATGTGTTTACAAAGTCTCTTTCTCGACAAAGTCATCAATTTCTTGTTGGCAAATTGATGCTTCTTGATAAACCAACATCAATTTAAAGGGGGATGTTACCATATCCAAGCAAACTGTTACTTTGTATATATCTCATATACTTGTAGTTATCCCATTGTCCATAAATAGTTTATCCAGCTGTAAATAGATAGATATCAACATTAGAGTATCAACCTAAAAAATGGGTTTTTTGACTGTTGTATATTCACCTATTTATTCAATGGAAAGCTAATAGAATGGGGAGATGGAAATCAAATTCCTTCACTTTTAAAAGTTATCACATGGATATTAAAACATATCTCCTTGGTGTGTTTAGTAAAGTTACAATGTAAACAATGTAAATTAAATTTATCAATCTTCTTAGCTCTACCTCTATGCTTGCCATAATTCTTTGCATCATGACATGTTCTTTTGTTATTAACTGCCGTCATAGCAACATTTTCCAGGGTATCTATGTATACATTTTTAATTTCTTTTTGCTTTTCAACTCTCAAAATAATTGAATAAGCTTTGTTCATAAAAGGTAATGGTTATACTACCAAAATCTAATTTCTTATATTATTATATCCATCATTCAAACGCATTAAAAATTGCATCAACTTGCTAGAAGAGTTATAGTCTATTACCTGCTTAGCTGCTCCACAGCTGCATTGTGGAACTGGTTGCAAGCATTGCAGCTCATCCCTTAACTTCTTAAGCTTTGTGTAGTACTGAACCACTGTTTTGGTTCCCTTGAGAAATGGAAGAAATCTCCCTCTACAAGTGGTATAGTAATGGATCATTGCATTCTCCAAATCTCTCCTCCAATTCCTGCCAAAGTTCCTTTGCAGATGCAGTATACAATCTACTTTATTCCATTTTTCAAAATTCTTTGATTTTTTTTTTGGCATTGCACATTTTCCATCTATGGAGGCTCAACTTCCTCTTGGCTCCTATAGCTATCTTCACGAAATGACTCCAGGCTATATAGTTGTTTCCATTTAATGGAGTGGAAACAAGAATCATGCCTGGATGATCAAATGATTAAAGAAGTAATGGATCTTCGTCGTTATGCCTAACTCTTTGAACACTTCCTGTCATAGTCTTTGCAACGCCAATAATTCCCTCCATGCCTAAAAACTATTTGTTTTCTCTCAATTTGGATCGATTGCACTCTAATACCATGAACAGAGTAAATTATCAAATCAAGAAATTTTTCTATTTAAAATATATAATTTTCTTACACCTCATAGAAGAAGGATACTGCTACTTATATATATATCTAAGAAGAAGGTCGAAGAAAAAAAAATAAAAAGAGCACCAAAATTAGATAAGAAAACATAACAGAAAATGCAGCAGGTGAGTATCTTAATTCTCTACACTATCTCTTCAAAAATTTTCAACAAAACAGCTTAATTAAAGGATAAAAATAGTTGTCTGGTCTAAGGCCATTTTTACTACTTTGACTTCTCCAACATGCAAATACACACACATATATCTATACATATCTATGTATGTATATATAGAGAGAGAGAGGACGAAAAGTGATTTTATTTTATTTAATCAACTTCCCAATATAACCTTACGAGAAGTTTCTTTTCTCAGCAAAGAAAAGCTTAATACAGAAATGGTTAAGTAAAATTGGCATTGAAGAGAGAAATAATATGAAGTTGAGAAGCCAAAGAATTTGCGGGTGGTAAAATCCCACCACTGTCAATCTCCTTTCTGCTTTCTTTTTTCTTTCTTTGGAAAAATATAAAAGAAAAAGCATAAGACCCCTCTAAAGCTCACTACTAAATCTGCTCAATCTACCTTCTTAATATTTGAAGAACTCAAAATGGGAATTGGAGACCGCTAAAGGTCTGTCCAAACGACCAAGTCGCAGGAACAACATTGTTGGAGATCATCGTACGACCATCACTGGTGGTAACTTTGAAACTTACGGTTTGACCATTTAGGTAAGAGTTGGATTGCCAGTTTTGACCCCAGTTTCTTGACATGGGTCTCCATCCTGTTCTTGATCCTCTTATCCAGACTGCATGCACATCACCAGCTCCCCCAACATTTGTTATTAGTACTAAGTTGAAGTATGAGTGGCCGTTCATGGTGAATCTTACTCCTCCCTTCTTTCTGCATGCTACCCTGCAATTTACAAGTTATAAACCACGAGTTCAAGTTATTAATAGTTTATAACTTGTAAATTCTTATAAGCACGTTGCAAATTACATAATTCTTATGAAATTATTGATATATTGTAATTATTAAATATTAATGTAGAATTATAATTTATTTTATTTATTAATTTAAATTTAAATAAAATTTATTTTTTAAATATTATGTAATTAGTGAGAATTTATTTTTTTTTTAAAATTTTATTTATAGTTATTTTTTAAATATTATTTAATTACTAATAATTTATTTTTAAAAAATTAATTTACACCTAAACCTATTTATAATGCATTCAGACTCATACTCTACTAGCTCAATAAAGTTTTAGACTTTAGAGCATATATGCCTTTGATTGTCATGTGGGTCATCCATGAAGACGTCAAAGATTGAATAATACTCTTGAGGAGCGTGATTTGGTTTCTGGGTCAAGAAGTTTATAGAAGTTTATACATACCTTCTGTAAGAAACTGGTACTATTCCAGCTTTATATTTAGCAATGCGTTGGAAAACAGGCTGAGAAAGATCAAAATGGTGGTGGGGAGGGTTGCACCACGCTCCACCATTGTCAGAAACTGCATAGTTTGGTGGGCAGAAATTAGTAGCCGTGACCACAACAGAACCCGGAAGACACCATTTTGGATCATTCACACACTTGATCTCGAAACAAGCACCACAGCTCAACCCATTGTTGAACAGTGCTGTGCTTAACGCTGCTGTGTTTGTACCATATCCTTCCCTGTATAAGTTACCATACCCACATGCTCCACCTGGAATCCCACCAAAATTTCATGACATCCATAAATAATTAACATAAACTTATATTTATAAGTTTAGGACTTCATTTTTGTGATTTAAAGTTCATAGAATGTGACATACCCATTGTACCGGAGGCATCACCGCCTCCATAGAAAGTGGCATGAGCATTAATCCAGCCATGAGCAGGAGATGAGCACAAAGAAAGAATTCCCAGTAATAGCAACCCAGTAATTGCCATGTTTCAACAGAGAAGAGAAACTGATTTCTAGTTTTGTATGTGCACGTAGTTAAGTGAGGGAATGGGGAGAGAGATACATTGATATATATAGAGGTATATACGTAAAGAGAGAGAGAGAGAGAGAGAGATGAGGACCACCGAATTGAACCGCCAGGTGCAAGAGGGTTTTGTTAGTGGAAACAGAAGCAAGCAGGAAAGCAGCCGGCTTTTTTCTTTGAAACCATTAATGGAGTTTTCAACTCATTCTATATGTTCAAAAGATTGTGAATTTTATCTACATTCAATGACCCATTTTTTTCTTACGACATTTAGTTTTTTTCCTTTTCATAATAATTTATTTTTAGTCAATTTAACAACATATATCTATATTGTTTGTAGAGTGATATTAACAAAAACAAAATACATGTTATTCAAATAATAATAATTATTATTATTATGATAATAATAAGATGGTTTGATCTATGAAAATGTGTTACAATCTTTGTTTTCTAAATGTTATTTCAATTTCATTCACAAAATTATATAAATTAAGTCGTAATAGAAAGAATAATAATTCAAATTATTTATCTTTATGATTCATTCTTTGACAGATTATAATATAAATCCATAATACAAAAGAACAATTGTGTTGTTTTTTAGTTTAATTACAGAATAATCCTTGAACTACTTATTCTTATCCTCACAAGAAAACCAGAATATGAAACCGACCAATTCTGAATTGAAAATTCTTGTTGCATTTATTATCATTTGGAAGAACGAGTTTATAAGGCAGCAACAGATTTGACTCCATTAATTATACATATATATTATAGTATATAGATGCCAGAAACTCTCTCTTTTCATTCAATGTAATCTGCTGGAGCATATGGGTGATGATGAGTAGGTTGATGCATCGAGAGGACCAAGAACACCCCAATGGTCTTTCATTTATTATCTTATTTATTACCCATCTCACATGCCATCTGCAATTTCACCATTTTCCTACTTTATTTTGTTTTTCCCCCCCCCCCAAAAACTTCCTTTAGGAGATTTTGAATAAAGAAAAAGAAATACTAAAAGAACCAAGCAAAATGCTGGAGGATAAATATAAAGAGATACGTATGAAGAAACTCTAGTTTGAAGAATTGATAAGTATCAGAAACCCAACCAAGTTTAATTCGATTTTGGAGTTTTCTTTCTTTTTTTTCCCCAAGAGAATGAAAAATTCTTGCAATTTTAATAGGTAAGACACCACCGCAAGAATACTTTTTCATAAAATATATTTAATTACAGTATTTTGTCACGTGGGTTATTGGATAATCAAAGATATATACAAGTTGACATTCTAAAAAGTCCATCTTCTACTTTCTTTTTTTCATTACTCATTAAGGTTATCATACTCTTGTTAAAAATGACAAGGCGAATCGTTTACCAGTACTTTTTGAGAATTCTTTACATGTTTTGTTTATGAACTTCTTTAATCACCACGACCGCGATTTCATTTTCACACATGGAACCAATTGATGAAGTCAGAAATGGATGGAGCTAATTTTGATTACTAGATTTAGTTAGGAGTAATATGGTCTTATGTATTTAAAATTTTCTAATAAAATAAACAAATAATAATGTCAATTTTTTTATGAAAATAACTTAAATATTTGAGTTAGTGACTTATAGTAGAATATATATCAATATATTATTGAATGTGTATAAAGATTGTTCTTCTCTACAATTATTTAGTATTGCCCACGTATAAGATATTTAATGATAAGCTAACCATAAGAAGAAAGAAATAAAAAATTAATTTTATGTTATTTCATTTGATGATAAAGAAATATCGCGCTTTTTATCTTTTAATAGATTTTTAAATATTAAATATCGAATATTTTTTATCATGTATTTATGTAAATCGTGTTTCTCGAAATTATTATTATTAGATATATAACATGTAATTTACTAATTTAATTTGTGTGTTAGTGCTATACAATTGAGTTACATTATGTGGTTTTGAATCAAAGAAAATCAATTATAATATGTGTGCATGTAATTATCTTTTTCTTTTTTGAAATAATATACATCACCTTGGTAAACATAATGATATAATATGTAATATCTCTGGAGTAATTTATTAAATACACAATGAGATAATTAGACACATAAACAGAAAGTAATTATATGTATGATGATAAGCCTTCACTTTTAGTAATTATAAAGTTCCAAATCTTGCCGTTGGGGCTGGAATTCAATCAGATATATACGTACATTTATATGTATATATATATATATATATATATGAATAAGATTTCCATTAGTAATAGGAGCTCGGTAACCTGAAAGAAACCAAAAAACGACAGCTAAATTCGATGTATTTAATTCTTTCAGAAAAGAAAAATAAATAAATAAGGGATAATAACAAAAATGCAAAGCAAAGAATTTCTTTGCTGACAATCGCCGGAAGTGTCGTGAGTTATTTTGGACCGACAATTTTCAACACCCTTTGACCATCATTAGTTCTCATTCCCATTTGCAGCCCATGTTTCTTTATATACACACACACACACAAACACATATATAAAGAAAAAAATACTTTAAGTTGTTAAATGTGGAGATAATAAATCAATGAAGATTTAAGTTTTCTTCGTCCTTGAAAAAATCCCAAAAGTGGTATCATAACTTTGTTGGTCAGGAATATTTAAGAAAAAAAAAAATTATAGAGAGAAAACAAGCAAGTCTCATATATCAAATTTAGCTTCAAACACCTTTCTTATAGCTTCACCTCCCATTTTCACTAGAGAAAACTATTAATTATAGGCTGTGAAAATGCAAATATATCTACAATCTTTTGATTTGTGAGATGTGTTTGAAAATGATGGTGAACTCTCACCATTGCCATCTCATCTAACTGCAACTTAATTAAAGAGTTATAATGAAGAAAAATCCAAGAAGTATAAAGCAAAAACTTAATAAATATAAAGCAAAAACTTACTTGTACTGTAAAGTCTAGAAACTTAAAAGAAAATAAATTATAAATTGAATTCGAAAGCGAAATAATTGAGTTAGAGTTTACATTTTTTATACAATAATTTAAAATACTCAATAGGGTTATCAGAATGACCATTATAAAAGAACTAGCGAAAAATCAAAGAAATAAATAAAAAGTAAACAATTAGGCATTCTAAAACGACCTCCACTAGTCTTTGAAGGGAGTCTAGATGGTGAATTATTCACAACCCACTTGTTGATCGAGATCTTGATCTTGGTTCTCTTGATATGAAATGGTTAATGAAATGGTGAATTACACTAATTCAGTAAGAATATCACACTACTCATCCATACATAAATGAAGGTTCGACAAAAATCATAAAAATAACTAATTGAGCTTTTAAATTAAGTAAATTTATTTACTATAAATAAAATTATTTATTGCATACTTACCGTTACGAGATTTCTAAAACCGATTTATAGATGTAATAATACAAACAACATCATAATCTCATATTCAATTGGGCATAACAACAACTTTTCTTTTTTATTTGCTTACTGGTATTTCTGGGGGTCCATAGGGATATTCCACTACACGTGAACCTATATCCAACCTTGTTAACTAATCAGTCGTGCCCCATACCCCATCCGGTATGAGCACCAAAAATATCATCTCTCAATACCTCATCCGGTATGAGAGTGAATCGGATTGTCCCATATGTAACGCCCAATAATTTTTAAAATTTTATTATTATTATTATTATTATTTTTATTTTTTATTTATTTTATTTTATTTAGTTTATTTTAATTTAATTTAATAAAAATAAAAATAACAATAATTGTAAAATTAGGTAAAAATATTATTTGGATTTAATTGAAATTGATTTTGGAAAAAATGGGTGAAAATTAGGATTCTGGGGGTATTTTTAAAAAGAAAATCGGAAACCGGGGGTCAAAACGTAATTTAGAAAAATTGTGCCCCGTCAGCGCCACGTCAGCAGCCACGTCAGCGGCCCTGGCCAACCAGGACCTGCCGCGTGGCAAGACCACGTCGACCCGGGAACGGACCACGTGGGCGATCCGCGTGCGCGTGATCGGACGGCCCAGATGCGTCCCCGCGCGCACGAACGGCCCATATTAAGCGTGCGCACAGACGGCCCAGATGCAAGCTCACGGACGGCCTAGATGCACGCGCACGGACGGCCCAGATTCAATCGCGCACGGACGGTCCAGATTTAATTAAAATGGACGGCTGTGATCAAAAGGCAAAATGGTATAAATAGAACCCCCACACCTGACCATAAAAACCCTAGCTGCCTGCCCTCGCCGGAGAAGACGAACCAGACGCCGGAGGAGCCCGCCACCGCCACCCGCCGCCGTACCGGGGAGTTTTTCGAACGCCGATCGAGGTAAATTTTATACTCCCGGCTCGTTTTTCAACGCTGAGTTCCCCTGTGGCCAAATCGGAGCCAAAATCCCGGCTAAACAGCCGAAACCCAGCAGCGCCGCCCCGCCCCTCCTTGGTTTTTGCCTCCGATGAGGCCCTTCCGGCCTCCGTTTGATACAATTTTTATATCACCGTGATCACCATTCTTTTCTTTACAGGTTGATCGGAGCCAAATCACCAAAACACAAACCTCACCGGAGAGCCGCCGCACCCGAGAGCACCGCCGCCGGTAAGCTTCGGTTTTTCGTAATTTTTTGGCCCCCCGAGGGCCCTAGGGTTGTTTTATCACAAGGACCGATGTAAGTGTGGCCGAATTCGGCCGAAAACGGTGAAAAACGGCCAACCCGAGGAGAATCGCTGCCGCTCCGTCGCTGGAATTGCGATATTGGCCGAAAGGGGTCCTGGGTCTAATTTGGGATTTTTTTGGGACACGTACAGGTACCAGTAGTGCGTTTCAGTTCCCCGGGAAAAATTCAGGAAAATTAGGGACAGCCTGCAGGCGCACTGTAGAGCCGTATTCGGACCCCGAAACAAGTAAGGACCCCTCACCCTATTTCCTATCACGGTATTAAAGTTCAATAAATGATAAAACGGTATTTCATGAATCAATAGATGTGAGAAATTGTTTAAAGTCGCTAATGGAGCCCG